GAACTAACCCAGTTTGATGGTGATATCACAACCGGAGATAGTATGAGTAGCAAATTTGGATTAGGAAGATGAAGAAAATGAGGCTGGCTTTGAACATGTTGAAGTACCCACTGGACACCTGAAGTAGAGCTGTCTAGAACTCAGAAGAGTCATTAGAGATAAAGATGAGCATTGAACATCATGAGCAAACAGGTGACAGTTAAAATCATAGGAGTAAGAGTTTAGCAAAGGATGGATAGAAAGATAGATGGATGGATGTCTGGATGCAGATTAATAGATCAGAGGGAGACAGAAAAATAAGTTAATTAACACGTTTACTGTCACAATAAGGAAAAGAATTTTTCCTTGGGGCCACAGTGTTTTATTTTGAAAATAGAATAAAATCTTTAAAAACAAAATGATCCTTTCTAATGTGATTAAAAATTTGTTATTTTTATAGTTTTCTCTGCGTGAGTGATATGTGACTTATGCAAAGCCAGAATCAATTTCTACACTGGGCCAGCGCCTGTGGCTCAAGTGGCTAAGGCGCCAGCCACATACACCCAAGGTGGCGAGTTCGAATCCAGCCCGGGCCCACCAAAACAACAATGACGGCTGCAACCAAAAAAATAGCCAGGCATTGTGGCGGGCGCCTGTGGTCCTAGCTACTTCGGAGGCAGAGGCAAGAGACTCACTTGAGCCCACGAGTTGGAGGTTGCTGTGAGCTGTGACGCCATGGCAGTCTACCCAGGAGGATAGCTTGAGGTTCTGTCTCAAAAAAAAAAAAATAAATTCTATACTGAACACCACAAGTTTTATGTAACTCATGACATATTTACTGAATTTGTTTCTAAGAAGTGAGTCTTTTGTTTTTCTATCAGTATTTAGTTGTGTCTGGAGTGTTCGTTAAGTGGTCCTAGATGATGACCTCTGAATCATACTAGGTAAATACTGTGTCACGTTGCCACCTACTACAGTATTGATTTCATTCAAAGAGCCACCAGGCAAACATTCAAGGGAAAATATGCAATGGGAAGTTCTGGTAATTGGAGAACACAGTGCAGCATGTGTACACACTTAGGAGGACCAGCTGGAGTTAGGAGGGGGACAGGAAGTTAGGGAGACATGCCAATTGACAATGAAAACAACAAGTAGAGGTTTCACAGTGTGCAAGCATGCTAGGGACCTTCCCACCTATCCACCAGTTCTATATGCTTCATACGTCCCAGGGCTCAAAATTACTGTGAGTTAAATACAACTCACAGGGCAGTTCATGTGCTAAAATGAGATTATTATACTATATTAACTAGCTTTAATTTTTGGAAAGTCATAAAACACAGTTTTACTTAACAAAAGAAGCTAAAGAACGTTAAGGAAAGTAAATTTCAGATAAATATTTCTTTGCCAGGAAACGTATTACTCCTTAAAAGAGCCCTCTAAGTCAAGGAAAAGAATTCCTAAAAAAAATAAAGTGGCTAGTCATTCATAAAAATCAACTTCCTGCTAAGAAAGATGAGGAAATTAGTACTCTCACACCCACCTATATGGCCTGGTAAGGATTCATCTACTATTCTGCTACCATGACTTTTACTTTAGTAAAAGGAGGAGGTCTCTGCCTCCTCAAGGCTTAGTTTTTATATTTACGTGAATTAAAGGCTCACCACCAGCCTTTTACTATGACTATTCCATTCGTGAGTTCTTTATTTTGATTTGCCTCTTACATGGCTTAAATCTCATCATTGAGAATTTTTTTTTTCCCCAAGAAGTGTTTGTTTGTTCTATAATTCTTCAATTTGCTGAGGCATGAGAACATTTACCTGTGGTCTCCATATTTGACCATTACCTTCACGAACAACTTGGCTGGGTATAAAATTCCTGAGTCACTCCTTTCCCCAGAAATTTTCAGACATTACTTCATTGACTTTTGGCATTGAGTGAAATGCAAAGCCATGTCTTTAACCAAATGTAGGGGAAGGGAAACTCAAATAATCTCTCTCAACACGCATGGCTCCTTCATTTTCGAGATGAACAGAGCTCTTCTTTGGCAGTAACCAAAGGCAACATTTAAAAGCTACAAGCCCTTCCCTGCCCCAGTAAATCTGCTCATCCTTCAAGACTCTGCTCAAATGTCCCAAATCATCCTATCAGCCTTTCTCCTCTCTAGATAGAATTACTCTCTTCATGTCGTAGTTACTACATCTATAGTTTCCCCTCTAAATTACAAACAACTTGAAAGGAAACCCACATTTTCTTCATTGTAATCAAAGCACTTAACACGCTTGCTAAAACATAGTAAGACTTCAATGCTTACCAAATAATCTATCTTCACTTTTCCCCACATATATTTGAAGGATTCCTTAGAATGGTTTTGCTCAAACTTCAGCATGCCTCAGAAATACCTGGAGAACTGGCTAAAATATAGACAGCTAGCCCCATGCCCAGAGCTTCTGGTGTAGGAAGTCTGGAATAGTGCTCAGGAATTTACATTTCACTCAGGTGATACTGATGCCGTGGGTCCAGGAATCACATTTTGAAAAGCATTAATTTAAAGCACCATTAGAAATGGGTGGAAGAAATCCTTTCAAAGTAGGGATAGATAAATTTATCTCCAAAACCATCCAAATCCAAACTAAGATTTTGTGAACTACATCCACGTCCGCAAAATCTGGGCACGATTTCTTATACCATAAGCCTAACATAAGCCCCAATACTAGAGTATGTGACCCATGAGAAAAGATATTTTATGATGGTTCACTTAATTTTTCTTTCTTGATTCTTTTTATCACTCATGAATAAGTACCTTTAATCAGTGTTACTGACCGTGATTCTCCAACTAGATGTATTATACTATAACTATTAACTACACTAACATTAATTCAATAGTCGGGGGGGGAGTAGAAACCCAGAGAAATTCAGCTACTTCAAACCAAACTCTCCTTCAAAAGTAAAACAAAAATAATGCTCATTTAAAAATCCACTTATCTCCCATCTTTATTCTGTTCTCAGGCTTGTCTTCTCTCTCCCTGCCCTCTGATCTACTGCACACAGGTGATGGCACTTGCTCAAGACCACAAACCACCACTAGGTACATATTCCCTTCCACAGCATTCTCGCCATTAAGCCAGTTAGTCTCTGTAGAGAATGGTCTGTGGCCCCAAGGCTTCTACAGAAACCTCTAAGCGGTGATTTTTGCCCTCCTTTACTTAAAGGGTTCAATTTCTCTGATCACTAACTCTTTCTTGGCTTTCTAACACGCCGGGCAGTGCACTAAAGTTGCGTTGCAGCGCCACCTAGGGTCTGTTGAGGGTAGTCACCAGAGCTAGCAACGCAGAGCCCTGGCCACCAGCTGGCTGGTTAAAGGGAGACACAGCCCTGTAGTGGATCCAAATGGTCTCTGCCTCTGTCACAAACCGTTCGTTATAAGGTCAAGGAGGTCTCCCATCTGGAGCTTCCATCTGCGACTATGGATTGTTAACCATCATTTGAAATGTCATCAGCTTGAACGTGTGCTCCACATTAGGATTTTTAACCCTGAAGGTTTTCGATTCCTCCATGGTAAAAGACCTTCCGTGGTGAAGAGATGAGAAGAAGAAAATAGCAGCTTCCGGGCCTTTCATTCCTGCTTTTTGTGCCTGTGGCTGTGTTTGAGCTTCTCTGAGAAGTGCGGGGTGAACACCAGCAGTTTGGCCTGGCCAGGGAGCTGCCTGCACCCGGCGCTGTGCGTTCTGCACGCGGCAGCCGCGCGGGGCGCCGAGGGTCCATTAGCTCTCATTTAATGTTTCTTCTCGGGCAGATAAGTACAGGCATCAAACACCCCGGCCCTTTTATGACACATAAATCACAGGTCAGTGCCTTCCATGGAGACTCCTGTTCGCTAAGTGAGTAGTTGCACCAGGAGCAAGGAAGCAACATTATAGCGCACTTAGGGACCTAGAGGGACGGGGCGATTATACAGGGCAGGGCGCGGAATTTCTCCCTGCAATTGAATGATTAAAACCTTTCCCCTTCCGGAGAAGTAGAACACTGTTTCGAACCTGCCACTGGCAGCAACTAACCCCGAGAGCTGCCCTTGGCCCCAGCCTGCTATTAACCCCTTTCTGATAGAGTTAGTTCCCATGGCCCCCCACTGGGGGCAGCCAGGCGCTAATTGAACTGAGGGGGACCTTTTTCTACACTGACTCCACAGAACCTGCTTTTGACAATTTATGCCAAGAGTCACAGACACTGAGGGAGCAGAGAGCTGAGCCATGTTAATGGTGGGGCCCTAAGTGAAGGTCTGTGAACTGGGGCTGCTGAGAGCCTTGAAATGGCCCAGGCTTCTGCCCTGCCGAGTCCTGCCAGTGAAGCTTTCCTGTGCCTTCTATGAGTCCTGGAGGTGCAAAACCAAAACCAGCTCCTTTGTCCCAAAATTGCTACTCTGAAACTCTGCATCTCAGAGAAAACGCACACCAGAAAACGCACACCAGCTTGGAATTTCTGCTCCCTGAGACACACAAGCCTGCTCGCAGGCCCCTGCCCTCTGCCAAAGGCAGGAGCTGTCTACCCTCCAGGAGGCAGGGGTGAGAGCCAGGGGAGGCTGCGGGGACCCGAGTGTGGGCCCCAGCCTGCTACCCACCCATAACCTATTTCTGGTCTGCAACAGGGAAAACACAGAAACTGAGAGTGTTTAGGAACTCTCATAGCAAATTTTCATAGCAATTTAGTATCTACCAAATCTAATAATAAAAAATCAGAGTTTGTGTTTTTGTGTGTCTTTGTGTTTTCCATCTTATTTTTCTTGAATTTTACAAAAATCAGTCCACAAACAATTGGAAATAAAAAACAAAACAAAATATATAAGTTTTCCACTACCAGCAGTTTGAAGAGCACAACTTTGAATTCCACACCCCACTCACTGGATCCAGGCCCTTGGGCCCTCCAGCAGGTAGAGTGTCACTTACAGAAAACAGGAATGCAGGTGGGCCCCCTCTCCAAGGAAGCGCCATGACTCAGGCGGAGCCAAAGCCTGTTCACACCTGACAATGAGGGCCAGTGCCTGGATCAAGCAGGTCAGAGGAAGAGCGTGTACTGAAGTCCAGTCAAGCCAAACATTCCAGTGTCCGGAAGGCAACAGGACCCACAGCATCCTGAGGGAGTGTGGAACAAACACCAAGGGAGCCCGGAAATGCACTTCGGAGCTGCATGTGGAGGTGAGTCAGGGCCCAGTAGGTCTGGAGGACTGCTAACACCTGCAGCCAGTGCATCCCTCTGCCTTCTCTCCAGAGACCCAACACGCCCTCCCACACACACCCCTCATCCCTCCTGGAGCTGTCAGCCTCTCTGGGCAGCACCACATTCTCCTATAGCTGGGAGCAAGGGCGTAGGTGTGGAGAACGTGTGGTCCCTACGTCTCCTGATACAGAGTTTGACTGGGTCTGCCTTATCCTCTCCAAGGCAAAGATGAGGATTGGGAGCACAGAGTGGGCCGTTAGCCTCCCATCCCTAAAGTCTCTCTCTATAGTCCAGAAAAAGGAAACAGTAACATGAAAATATCTGTTAAAAAGAAAAAACATCTTGTCTCTTTAATACATCACAAAAGAAAAGCATGGGAAGAAAGGGAAGAAATTCATGGAGAGTGAGATAAGGAGGCCGGAAAGGAAAAGGGGATATGGGCTATAAACCCAGGAGGGCAGACGCCAGATCTGTGCCCTGGTGCCTGGCCCAGTGCTGGGCACATCATGGCTCTCAGAGATATTTGTTGAATGAATAAAGAAAAGAAGAATAGTTGACACAGGAACAAAGAGGGAGTGGATGCTTGGGAGCTTGCAGCTGCCCAGATTCCTCCTGTCCCCAGCCTCTGCAGGAGGCAGGTTGGGGCCAGGGCCTGAACTGCAGGGCCCTGCTGCTGGGCAGGGGGCAGCTGCCAACATCCTGCTTCCCCGAGGCTAGACTCTGCTGGTCTCCTTCTCTCCTTCTTCTTTTCTCCTTAAAAACACCGTTTTGATGCAGGGAAGAGTCACTAGTTTCACTTGAAACAGTTCCCAAACAGGATATTGCATCTCAAACAGCTCCTCGGCCCTTGGCAATTGTTGTGTGCAGGTGTTTCTCCCGAGTGCCGGGCAGCACGTACGTAACGCGCTGAGACCCAGCGAGCCCTGGGTGAAGGACTGGAGAGCCGCCCAGGGGACCAGGGGCTTGTGGCACCGAGCCCTACAGCAGCCCCTGCATTCCAGGAATGAGACTCCTTCCCACACGCCTCCCCCACCCCCTTGCTAACCTCATTTCCAGCCCCAAGTTTTCTGAAGAATAAGAACTGAGTTTTCCATCTCATTTCTACAATTCATAAGGTAGAAACAAACCACAGTCCCAAAGAGAGAATGAACCTGGAAGAAAGGAAGGACGAAGAGGGCCGCCTGACAGCACATGCTAAGCAGGGTGTGCTGTTCCTGACAGGCTAAAGCAAACGCGGGAACACCGATGAGAGTTGAACCAAAAGTTTCACCAGTAGAAGTCAGTACATACATTTTAAATCCATGTTTCTAAGAGAAAAATGGAAACAAGGAGTCTTGAAGCATGAACCCATAGAACTTTACAAGTAGCCCTGGGCAAAGTCAAAGGCAGAGTCACCATATATACCCCAGAGAAATGAAAACATATGACCTATGTCTACCTGAAAATTTGTACATGGATGTTTATAGCAACATTGGACACAAGAGCCAAAAATGGAAGCAACCCCAGCATCCATCAATGAATGAGTGGACACACGAAGCGTGGGCTATTCATACACTGGTGTGTTATTTGACATTGAAAATGAAGTACTAATACATGGGTGTGACAGGAAAGGTGAAAACATTATGCTACATGACAGAAGCCAGACACAAAGGATCACATGTTGTATAATTTTTTTTTTTTTAATGTCCAGAATAGGCAAATCTATAGCGACAGAGAACAGACTTAAGGTTGCTTAGGGCCGGGAGAAGGTGGCAGGATTGGCAGCAGACAGCTAAGGGATTTGGAATTTCTTTCGGGTAAGAAAACAATTCTAAAATTGACCTGTAGAGCTGGTTGCTCAGGTCTGTAAACATACTATAAGCTATTGATTCATACACTTTAAACTGGTGGATTATATGGAATATGTCCATATAACAAAAGCTATTTAAAAAAGAGAGAGGGGGGTGGTTTCCCAAGCAGAGATGAGAAGGGTGGGGCAGAACCAATGGATTTCAGTGACCCCTGCTAAGGAGGGGAGGGAGGGAGTGTGCCAAGTCCCATAGTGCCAGATTTGGTCATAGGCTTTTTATCCTTACTGTCACTTCCAAGGCTCCTCCTCCAAGGCTTCATCGGGAGGGGCCTAGGGAACAACCCCTCTTCTCCCCACCACCCTATGCTTTCATAATGACTAAGTGTTACCCTTCTAGAGATATTTACATTTTCAGATCATAATCACAGAAACTTAGAATGACTGAGCTTCAGGAACAACCTCTTCTTCTAATGGATCTTTTTGGGGTCTGTAAAATTGGAACCCAAGTTGCCCATGGGGCTCTAGGCATGTCATCCATTTTAGAAAAATCTCCTCTTTGTATGTTTACATAAAATTTTGAGGGGTAAAAGATAACCCTTAGCCATCCAGGAAGAAGAAATTATTGAGAACAATTCAAACTGGAAGTTTCTGGGGAACTGACATTTGACTGTGTTTTCCCCAAACACCATGAGGCTCACAGCCCTCTCCCAGAGTTCCAGAGAGCCAATCTCAGGCTTCAGCACACTGGGCAGCTCCCTCCACCTCTGGATATCACCCCAGATCCTTCTTGAGAAGCTCTACCATCCTGTCCCAGGCACAGCCAGCTGACCTGGGTAACAAACTACCCAGGTCAAATTTGCACCCAGCATGCAGTCACTGGGAAAGCCTTCTTAATGGGGCCCTGGATGAGCCTCTTTCCAGGGCATGATTGGTAACAAGTTGTCCCCATATATAGGCCAAGAAAGAGGCCAGAAGTGGGCTGGGCACAGGGGTCACTAGCACTCTGGGAGGCCGAGGCAGGTGGATTGCCTAAGCTCATGAGTTCGAGACCAGCCTGAGCCAGAACAAGACCTTGTCTCTAAAAAATAGCTGTGCGTTGGTGGTATCAGCTACTTGGGAGGCTAAGGCAAAAAAATCACTTGAGCCTAAGAGTTTGAGGTTGCTGTGAGCTGTGATGCCATGACACTCTACAGAGGGCCACAAAGTGAGACTCTGTCTCAAAAAAAAAAAAAGAGTTCAGAACTAAGACACAGTTAAGTTTATCCATCACACTAGACACATTTTCTCAGCCACACACACAAAAATAAGAGCACAACAGAATCCCCTGACCTCCAACCAAAAACTGAAACTATTAAATGATGGTAGCCATTCTAAACCACCAAAACCATGGCCTACAAAACTCTCTAGACTCCAGAATGATCAACTTGACCAAGACAGCATTTAAAAACCCCAGAGAGTCAGTATCTGGGAGGCCTGTAGTTTCTGTTCACATTTGTTATTTGCATTCTCTCTCACCCAGAGTCCAGTTAGCACCATTCAGACTTGGCTCTGAACCTGCCTTACTAAAAGGTAGAACAGTAAGTCAAGCAACCAGCACTTGGTAAATGCAGTGTCGTCATCCCTATTTTCATCATTTCTCTGTTGCCTTATTCACCACCAGAGAACATAGTCCCAGCATCATAGAGCTAAAAAGGGACCACAGATACTCCACATTCTGATTGATTTTATACTCTTGCCTACCTCCAGTGTCCCAGAAGCCACATGAGGGGACAGGCAGGAGGTCAAGAAAAAGGCATCTGAGATCCCATCCCCATTTTGTTGAGTATATTATGATATGTCCAGATGCTCCAATAAATAAACCTCGACACTTCAGTGGCTTAGCAACACACAAACTTTTATTAATATTTTTGACTCATATAGCAGTTTGATATGGGGGTTTCAGGTCTGCAGGTGGCAGTTTACCATGGAACCCAGGTTCCTTCCATCCTGTGGCTCTGCTATTTCTATGTTCCCAAGCAGGAATAGAGAGAACACATCTGCTGCTTTACCACTTGGCCTGTGCATTGGTCTCATCAGGAACATAGAGCCTGCTGGCTACTCTAATATGGACAACAGCAAGAACCGGAAAGCCAAACAGAGGAGGCGAGGCGATCCAGAGAGGAGCGTCAGCTGGAAGCCCCTTCTACTCGGAGCCCACTCATCCATCACTCATTGCTCTGAACTGCAGAGAAGGCTGCTGGACAACTGAGGCTGTGGGAAAAGGGGCTGTTAGTTAAGAGCTGACACCACAAAGAACCTGGGTGAAGAAATCAGACCTAAAATATTGTAGCTTCTTCCTTCCTTTCTCCCTCCAATCTCCGGCCAGTGCCAGGCCAAAGGGAGCCAGAGCTAGGGAAGGAACCTGGGAAATTGCAGTTGGCAGGGGACAGGTTCCCCACAGGATGAGCAGAGCAGTAGGAGAGCAAGCAAAAGCGCCGAGGACAAGCAGGCAAATGACAAACACGATCCACGTCACTTTCCCTCACATTTCATCGGCAGGATTCATTACAGAACTACGCCATGAGGCAAGGGGTGCTGGAAAGTGTAGTCTTTGGCTGGGCAGCCACTTACCAGTCACACAACGGAAGGAGGAGGACAAACGTCCAGTGGACGGTTAGCCAGCTCTGCCACCGTTGGGTTTGAACAGATTTTCCATCCAGTCAGCAGCTGTATTTCCACGTGAGGTTGATGAGGGACAGACCACGGTACAAAAGACCCTGGTGACTCCAGGCAGCACTACGGTTTCCCCTCCTCGTCCCATCCCTTAGGCCTGGAGGACTGGTGGGATGACAGGAGAAGCTGGCAGCAGCCGCTTGGCACCAGAGAGGAAGGGGCTTCCTTCCTGTAGGTGTCAGCATGTCCATCGTCCCGACTCCTTAGGTGAGCTGGTGATGACAGGGATGCTCTCATGGAACCTTGGGGTGAACTGGGGACACTGAAGCACAGATTTGCTAAACAAGGCATAGCTGGCCTCTGCCTTCATGGAGCATATAAATAGTAGGAGCAAAAGACCCTGTGCAGAAAAGATGCAGAGACGTAGGGCCCAAAGCAGGTGGGTCTGCTCGGGCACGCTCAGGTGTCCAGTTTACACTGCAGCTCCAAACGTTTATGTTTGGGTGAAGCTTCCTCTGCCATCATCTTAGGGAAGCT